GTGTGTGTGTGTGTGTGTGTGTGTGTGTGTGTGTGTGTGTGTGTGTGTGTGTGTAATATGCCGGAGCCCTGAACTGCTCAGCAGCTGAACATGGATGAACATTAAAGTTTAGTGATTATGTAAAATAAAGTGTGGTCGTTGTGTTTATTACCAGCTTGCTTGTTAATGTTAATAAATCACAACTTTATCTGAAAAGTTTCAGGTGTATCCTGGCAGGTAATACTAACAGTAAAATATAATGTGATAAAGTCCAACATGCAGAAAAGTGTTTTTCAGCTGATCAAATGAAATAATGGTTGTTTAAAGTCTAAATCACATCAGAGCATTGAAGTGTTTTTAATGATTATAACTATTAATATTATAATTGTGTTGATCCAACTGTTTCTAATCATGTGAATATACTCAGTTCTTGACCTTTTTATAGCAATAAATCACCTCAGAGATTATAATCAACAAGCACTTTACACTCTGTAACAGTCAACTGTAATAACGAACAGAGTAAACATTAAACACATAAATAATAAAAACAAAAACAAATGGTAAACAGCATGTGTGCAGAGTTACATGTTCAGTCAAAAGTGAAAATTCAGGTCACATCTTATCTCATCTCCTTTTAAATCAGTTAAAAATAATAATAAAAACAAAGTAAAATCAAATACTCAAGTGTTGAAGGCAAGAAAAAGAAGAGTTTTATGTGTGATGGAGGGGCCGTTACAGCAGAAGTACCCCACCCCAAGCTTCAGACTAGTTTTGGGGAGTTTTATTGTGAAAGGACCCAACAAACTTCTCCCCCCTCTGTAACTGTTAGCTGCTGCACGTCTTGACTCCGACTTGAAAAACAAAGCTACAAAAAATAAAATAGAATTAAAAACCAAGGCAGTACTTCAGGCAGGACCAGTCCAGGTCTGTGGAACAAGTCTTCATAGTCCTCTGGGTTAGAGGTGAGGACGAGGAGCCACCCTATCCTCTGTTATAAACACACTCATGGATGGTGAAGCTGTGTGTGCATTCAGACATGTTTCATCAGGTCCAACACTGAAGACAGGATAAACATCTGGACATATATATACTGTAATACTAACGATCAGATCACATATATTTAACATATATTATGATTAAAATAGTCATAACATTTTTATAAGTGTTGTGGAATAATTATGTCTATATCACCTTGACACTGACCATTGTTCATATCTTGTGATATCCTCTGGACGTCATCATCAAGTTGACCTATTTTCACGTATCAGGATGAGGCAGGTTATGATTGGTTGTTCATTATCACATGATGTTAGCTGACAGTATATCATTGCTTGGCAGCCAATAACGGGCGGGCCACATCCAACAGACTTCGTGATTGTTTTCTGTTTAATGTTGCCCATTAATAAATGATTTTACGACCATACCCGCAAGACTGTTTGTCTATTTAACATCCTTTCAACCCGTTTTCTGCCCATTTTGCCGCGACAATAAGTCAACATAAGTGGTCTAAAATGTTACAGTGACTGAAATCATCTGTGGAAAACTGCACTTTGTTTTTACTCAGATTTGTCATTTTATTTAACATGTTTAACAAAAAAGATAAATGTATCAGAACAGAAGTTCTTCTGTGGCTTTTCAAATTTGTGCAAAATTAATATTAAAAAAATGAAATGACTTAGGAAAATGAATGCAGGTTGTTTTAAATGCTGAAGAAAAGGACATTAATTCAAACTGAACCTCAGGTTCAGGAGCACAGGGCTCTTTATTTCCTCTGATAGATGACTTCTTTCAACGTTAGGACTTTCTGCTGTCATTATTACAGATGTTAATCTGAAATCAAATAAAAAAGTGCTCTTGCTGTGTTTAAAGCTGTTTCTTTGATGGTTGCTGCAGTATGAAAACCCATGGACCATCCCCAACCTGCTGTGTGTGTGTCGGATCTTCCTGGCTCCATACCTGGGCTACCTGATCATCCAGGAGCACTTCCACCTCAGTCTGCTGCTCTTCACTCTGGCAGGAGCCACTGACCTGGTAATTATGACTTCCAGCACTTTATTCTAAAGACATTTAGAGAATTTTGAACATGTTGGTGCAGAACCTTCACAAAGGCTGGTCCAAATGTCTCAGTACTCTTACTGGACTGCAGTCTTCTCCCAGTGCTGTCTGAAACCTGAACAAGTCCAAATAAAAAATATCTTTTCAAATAGTCAGAGCTGATGTGGATCCTTGAACGTCTCCGGTTTGATGCAGGGGTTTCTGACAGGTATCAAACACTAGTTATTTGATTTTAATTTTTCTTTTCATCTTCAGAATAAAACAGTCAAATGGAAACAATGTAATCACCTGGTTTCTTGTATTTGGCACCATCAGTAAGGTGCAACAAAGAGACAATAAACATAAATAAATGATTGAAATGTTTGTTTCCCAGAGATCAGTTTGGGTTAAAGGACACAAATCTGCAAAATCCACTTATCTGTTAAATACATTTTGTTGTGCATAGGGATGCAAGTTATCCATTAATGGATTAATCTAAAGTTGATTGATCTTATCGATTGACTAACGATTAATTGATAAGCGGCCATTTTCCTAAAAACCTGACATTTCTTTTGAATCAAGGATCTTTCTATGACATAAAGGGCTAATTTTTCACACACTAAATTAAAAAGTAGTACAGTATTTTATAAAATTTATTGTGCCAGCTGTCTAAAACACTGACTGAATAAACAGAAAATTGTATGAGTCTTCCCACTGAGGTGCCTTGATACGGCACTGTTGTGGGAAGGAAAAAGTGTGGCAGAAAACGCTGCACAACGAGAAGAGTTGTCAGTCAGTGATGGTCTGGGGTGTCCATGTCAGCTGCTGGTGTTGGTCCACTGTGTTTTATCAAG